AATAAAAATTTTAAGCTCTGGAAATCTTGTCTAGAGATGCAATTGAAGGATCTGCTGTATAACTGAAACAAAACAAAATAGAAGGGACATGTTTTGAAAGTGTGAAAAGTTGTCACAGGAAAGACATATCACAGTCATTCTGAGGATCACCTCAGGAAAAATATATGGAAGCAAGAGGTAAACATCTCTCATAAGAAAGAAATTTCTCCCAGATCTGTCTTAAAATTGATTATCCAACTTTGCAAAATAGAAAACAAGTGAAATGTTCCTGTCACTCTATTAAGGTCTTTCAGAGAAATTATCATTGTGGCAGGTAGGATACCTACGAGTGTGAACCTTTCTGTTCTAATATTCTGAAATTCTATAACCCTTGAGTGCCTTGCTGCCTTCCTAGACTTTAGCATCATAAAATCTCTTTCATTGGCTTGTTTTCTTTAATACCTCCTTGCTATATGGTATGATTGATGAACTTATAATCAACACATAATAATCACTTAAATCATATGGTTTACATAAGAGTTTACTTTTGGTTCTGTGTGGTCTATAAGTTTGGATAGTTCTATAGTGATATATGTCAATCATGATATTATCTTACAGAATATTTTTACTGCTCTCAAAACTTCTGTCCTATCTATTCATCCCTATTCCCTTGACAACTTCTGGAAAACACCAACTGCTTTACTGCACCCATTGTTTTTGTTTTTCCTTTCCTAGGATGTATTATAATTGGAATCATATTACATTACTTTTTCATATTCATTTCTTTCTCTTAGTAACATTCATTAAATGATTAATGTATGTATTTGAATGAGTTGAAAGATCAGTTCTCTCTAGTGTTGAATATTATATGAATGTCCCACAGTTAACATACCTATCCACTTACTGAAAGACATATTAGTAGCTTCCAAGTTTTGATAATTAAGAATAAACATGCAACAAAACTCTGTATAAAGGTTTTTGTGTTTATATAAATTTCTAACTCCTTTGTAATATCAATGGATGCAGTTGCTGGGTTGTGTGATATTATTTTAGTTTTGTTAAGAAAGTTCTATATTGCGTCCTTAACTGATTGCAATATTTTTGATTCCCAGCAGCAAGTTCTGAAAGTGCTTATAACTCATTACCATTAACCTTCAGTGTTGAATTGGATTTGAATCATTTTAATTTGTGTATAATGGTATATCATTGCATGGGCTGGAGCAATAGCATAGTGCATAGGGCTTTTGCCTTGCACATAGCCGACCCAGGTTTGATTCCTCCTTCCCTCTCGGAGAGCCCGGCAAGCTACTGAGAGTATCCCGCCTGCACGACAGGGCCTTGGCAAGCTCCCTGTGGCATATTCAATATGCCAAAAACAGTAACAACAAGTCTCACAATGGAGACGTTACTGGAGCTCACTTAAGCAAATCGATGAACAATGGGAGGACAGTGCTCCGGCCATGCTACAGTGGTATATCATTGTTTTAATTTACTTTTCTCTGGTACATGTTGTGTGGCATCTCTTTTATGCTTATCTGACATTTCTACAATTTCTTTAATAAAATTTTAGGGTCTTCAACTCACCTTTTTTTATCGATTGTAATGTTTTCTTTTGTTGAATTTTAAGACTTCATATATCTTTTGGATATCTTCTTTGTTAGATGCCTATTTTAGAAAACAAAAATCTCCCAGTCTTAGATTTAACTGTTTCATTTATTTTTAAGCTTTAGGAGAGGGCCTCCAAAACCATATTCAGAACACCTAGAGGCCTCTTTCAGTAATATTTTCAGACAGACAGCCTGAGGATTACTTGTCACACAGGTGGTGCTTGGGGCTTCCAAAATGCATGGGGTACCAGAATAGAGTCAGTCACATATAAGACATGTGCCTTAAACCTTGTGCTATCTCTCCAGTTCGTCTTCTTGATTTTTTATATTGACTTTTGTCCAGCAGTTTTTTGTTTTAATGAAGTCCAGCTTATCAATTTTTTCTTTCACGAGTGAAGCCTTTCATCATCAGACACACTGTCATCTAAGTTTTCTCATGTTTTTGTTTTCCTGTCTGATACCTTTCAGGAATAATTGTTTTTAAAGCGTGAAAAGGAAAAAGAGAAAAGCACTCTGAATATCTACTTTACTTACTGAACTGAGTATAGGGGAGAGCAAAATCAACTTGCTCCTTGCTCTATATTTTATTTCATTGTATGATAGAACTGCTTCACCATGTAAGAGAATTAGAAGAGGTTCTAACCTATGTAAAAAAAAAAATACACAGCCTTAATGGTATGTGTACACATACACATACAAAATTACACATCTTTGTGCAAGTAAATGTAAATCAATCAATATTGCCATTAATGTGTCATTAATATTCAATAATGTCCTTCAACAAAAAATTGCTCTGGTCCCAGGTAAGAATGATGTATGCATGAAACAATATAATAAATAGTACTGTAAATCCTATACCTTAAGACAAATTCTTTTAGAAGAAAAAGAATCGGCTAAATTCCCCAGAAAGGAACATAAAGTAACAAAATAGGACACTAACATCCAAGAATAGCAGGAGGCCAGCCGCACATGCTAGGGGAAAAGGCAGCTCAGATAGAGAAGGGAGCACCAAATAAAGGGTGTTGGGAGGATCCTCCTAGTGATGTAGGCAGGTAGACAGGGAAAGGCCCTTGGCAATGAAATTTAAATCAACAAAATTTTGGGAAGGAAACAAGACCTGATCAGCCCTTCAGCAGACCCGGAAGAAATTTGATCCCTCACCAGAGAGCCATCAGACACATCTGCATCTCTTAATCCGATTAATTTTTGGTGGATCAGCCCAGAGAAGACTCCAGAACTTCCGGACCAAGAGGACCCCAAGAGCCTATAAAACCCCACCCAAAAGCCCATTCAAGGCTCTCCATTTCTGTAGAAGCCCATGTTCTCTCTGAGCGCTTAACTCTCTTACTCTCCATTTCCCCACTTATCCGCTTACCCCTTTCTCTTCCTCTCCCAAAACCTCCAAATAAAATCTGTTACTTCAGATGGAGTACTATGTAGCTGTTAGAAAAGATGAAGTTATGAAATTTACATACAAGTGGTACTACATGGAAAGTATCATGTTAAGCGAAATGAGTCAGAAAGAGCGGGATAGACACAGAAAGATTGCATTCATCTGGGGAACATAAAGCAACAAAAAGGGAGATTAACACCCAGGAATGGCTGAGATTAGTACCAGGAATTTTGCTCCATGAATGGAAGGCCAGCCACAGGCTCTAGGTGAAAAGGAAGCTCAGATAGAGAAGAGAGTACCAAATGAAGGGTGTTGTGAGGGCCCTCCCAGGGTGGGAGAAGCATGCTAAAAGTAGTCGATAGACCAAACATGATTGCCACTCAAAGCCTCTCTTGCAAAACACAGTACCCAAAAGAAGAGAGAGAGAACAAGGGGGAATACCCTGCCACAGAGGCAGGATGGGACGGGGGGGCGGGGGGATGAGGGGGGGGGGATGCTGGGACCCGTGGGGATGGATGACGGGCACTGGTGGAGGGATGGGCACTTGATCATTGTATAACTGAAACCCAAGCACAAAATTTGTAAGCCTATAACTGTACCTCATGGTTTTTCACTAATAAAAAAATAAAAAATAAAAAAAATTAAAAAAATTTTTTAAAAATTTAAAAAAAAAATCTGTTACTTCACTGCTTGTCTACTCCTGAAATTCTTTTCTGCAAGCTAGACAAGAACCCTAGAAACCCTGGGTAAGGCCTGGGACTGACCTCTCCTTTCCTGCAAAGAGCAAATCCTCACTCCAGCCTGAGTCCGTGGCTCTCCGAGCAATCTGGTGGTGAGGATAAACTCCCGAGCCGAGAAGACCAAGTGGACTTAAAGTGTGACCTGACAGCCACCTTGTGGAGCTGGCGGGGCTCAGGCCCGTGCCAAGCAGGGGCTCACTGCAGACTTTACAGGTCCTAGTCTTCCCAGGGACTTCTGGGTGGCAGAGGTGGAGTGAGAGAGGGTGACTGTCTTTCTCTCCTCCTGACTCGTGTGAGCCACCCGTGGGGTCCACCGACATCACTAGGAAGGGAGATGCATGCTGAAAGTAGACTATAGACCAAACATGATTGCCACTCAATGCCTCTTTTGCAAACCACAGCACCCAAAAGGAGAGAGAGAACAAAAGAGAATGCCCTGCCACAAAGGCAGAGTGGGATGGGGGGATGGGGGTGGGTGGGAGGGATACTGGGATTAGTGGTGGTGGAGAATGGACACTGGTGGAGGGATGGGTACTCCATCATTAAATAATAATAATAAAGGCCCTCCCGTTGATCATCGATTTGCTCAAGCGGGCCCAGTAACGTCTTCATTGGAGACTTTGTTGTTACTGTGTTTGGCATATCAAATACGTCACGGGGAGCTTGCCAAGCTCTGCCGTGCAGGCGAGATACTCTCGGTAGCTTGCTGGGCTCTCCGACAGGGGCGGAGGAATCGAACTCGGGTAGGTAGTGTTGGCTGTATGCAAGGCAAACGCCCTACCGCTGTGCTATCTAAAAGCAAAGCACAAAAATTTCTAAGTCTACAACTGTACCTCATGGTGTTTCGTTCATAAATTAATTAATTCCTCAGAAAGAAGTTCATGATATTGTTGATAGCAACCAAAGGGGAGAAACTAGCTACAAGCACAAGCATGGGCAAAAAAAGTGGCTATCTAGATAAATCCTACGCTTAAATTTTCTCCTGACATCAGGAATAAAGCAAAGACGTTAGATTACACTTTTCTAACGCGGCCCTTCTTCTAGTTCCCTGGCACACCCGGCCCCAAACCAGGTGATCTGACTCCCAGGGCGAGCAGGCGAATTCGCCCAGTGCGGCTTGCACCGCCCAGGCGCGGTGGGCGTGGCCTCGGCTCCGCGGGGCCCGCCCCTCTCCCGGCCCGGGGCGCGCGCGTTCGGCGTCTGTACGGGGAGGCGGCGTTTCTTGTCCCTCTGCGCGTCCCGTTCCGCCTCGCCTCCCGCGGCCTTTGGGGCTGACGTGTCTGCACTTCCTCGGCCGCTGGACGAGTGGGGAGCCGCGATGGCGGACGCCTGGGAAGAGATCAGGCGGCTGGCGGCCGACTTCCAGCGGGCGCAGTTCGCGGAGGCCACGCAGAGGTGCCCGACCCTCCCTCCTCTTTGTGGAGTCCACCGAAGCCCCTGAGCGGCCACGTCCAAAGACCCGAGGCCCGCAAGTCCCCACCCCCCACCCCCACCCCCACTCCCCGATCCTTGGGAAATCCCGGCCTTGCCCAGCCGGGAAAATAAAAAGATTGGAGGCTCTTGAACTGAGTCCTGCGCCCGGGGAGCCTGCCACCTCCTGCGGCCCTGGGTTGTCCCCGCCGCTCCCCGCCGTCCCTGGGCCAGGCGTGTCCCCCTCCTCGCGGCGGCCTGGGCTGGTGACTCCCCGCGGTGCGAGCGAGCGAGCGCTCCCGATGCCGATCTGTCATCCAATCACCGTGGCGTTGTTTCCCCTGCTGTGCTTCCTGAGCCACGAAAGAGCTGGCAAAAAAGAGCCCCCACCCCCCAAGAGAGCACTTATTTTGCAGATGCTAGGCTGACTGTCGAACCTTACATCTTCTGGGCCACCTTTGCAGGTGGGCGAGGCCCGGAGGCTAGCTAGCATCTTTAAAAGGACACTGATTAATTTCCCATCCAAATCACTAACCTTGGGGGTCATATATGTCAGGTGCTCCTTAACGCTGCCTATTTAGGTTACAGAGCGCTCTCTCTCTCTCGCACACACACACACACACAGTGCTAGCAGAATGCATGGTTTGATTTCTTTCTTTCTGTCTGTCTTTCTTTCTTTCTTTCTTTTTTTTGGTTCATTGATTACAAGTGTCTTTTTTCCTTCTGGGTTCTCTGAAGACTATAATTCCTAATGCTCTGACTGGCATTGAGGGCAAACTAAGGCACAGGGTTCCACGCTTGGGTAACAGTTGCATTTAGGATTTTCCCATCTGAAAGGCCATGTCTACAGACCACTGAAGAGGAAGGCAAATGGCACTCAATTTAAAATTCTGCCTGTTTGTTTTTTTTTTTCTTCTTTGTTTCTGTAATGAAAGTTAAAACAGGGCCCCATTCTGTTCAGATTTGGAGATTAGTAGCAGATCTAGTAAAGAAATCAGACTTGCAGTCTGTAATAAGGTGATTTGTACCAATTACGTACATGGTTTTAGTGCCTGTAATCTTGTTTACTCCAAAAGAGCTTTAACTTGTTGAATTGTACTGTTATAATAATAAAATATTTTGTAATAAACAGAATTTAGTAACTTAAATGCCCATTTTCCCACATCCTATTGAGTTTAATGAGCACCATATGTATCGAGTATACTTTTAAAACATAACTTTTCTTGTATGCTTCAGGTTGTCAGAGCGGAATTGCATTGAAATTGTGACTAAATTGATTGCTCAGAAACAGCTGGACGTGGTTCACACACTTGATGGGAAAGAATATATCACTCCAGCCCAAATTAGTAAAGAAATGAGAGATGAACTGCATGTGCGAGGCGGTAAGTGGTCGCTCAACTTTTTTCTTCTTTTTTTTTCCATATTGAAAAAAGGAAGTATTAAATCCATAAATAATTATTTGCAGTTATAGGACATCTTTCTCAATTGTTGATATAATACCCAGTCTTAGTATCTTTATAGATTTCGCTGAACATGATCGTATAACTTAAATAGCACTGCACTGTCCTCCCCTTGTTCATTGATTTGCTCAATCGGGCACCAGTAACGGCTCCATTATGAGACTTGTTACTGTTTTTGCCATATTGAATACGCCACAGGTAGCTTGCCAGGCTCTGCTGTGCGGGCAGAATATTCTTGGTAGCTTGCTGGGCTCTCAAAGAGGGACTGAGGAATTGAACCCGGGTCAGCTGCGTGTGAAGCAAATGCCCTATGTGCTATCCTATCACTCCAGCCCATATAACAAATGAATTTATTACTTTGCAAAAGATTGATTTTACAGAGTTATGTATGTGTGAGTTAACTGTTACTTCATAGTTTGTAACTTTATTCCGTGACTCAGGAGAGAGTAACTAACGACCTGTTTCCGGTCGTAATTAAAAAGGAGAGAAGATATTTTTAAGGAATGTGCATTCTTAAAATCCAAGGCTAGATTGCCTCACAGACACCTTTTTTTTTTTTCTTTTTTGGCTACACCCAGTGGTGCTCTGGGCTTATTCCTGGCTCTCTGTTGCTGAATTACTCCTGGCAGTGTAGTGGAACATATGCTGGGAACACAGCCCCACCGGCATAGGGTGGTACTATCACCTGCTGCCACCTCCACACCCCTCTTATGAACTCTCCTTTGAGTATGTATTTGCAAATTAATAAACTCTCATCCATACAGTGCTACACTTAATCATTGTAAAAAGTATCATTATAAGAACACAAAGGTTTTTTTTTTCTTTTTTTTAATTATTTTTTTCTACTAGTGAAACACCATGAGGTACAGTTGTAGACTTACAAAATTTTGGAAAACAGTATGGACGATTCTCAAAAAAATTAGAAATTGAGCTCCCATTTGACCCAGCAATACTACTCCTGGGAATATATCCCGGAGAGGCAGAAATGTATAGTCTAAATGACATCTGCACTTGTATGTTCATTGCTGCACTGTTCACAATAGCCAGAATTTGGAAAAAACCCAAGTGCCCGAGAGCAGATGACTGGTTAAAGAAACTATGGTACATCTACCCAATGGAATACTTTACAGCTGTTAGAAAAGATGAAGTCATGAAATTTTCACACAAGTGGTTCTACAATGGAAAGTATTATGCTAAGTGAAATGAGCCAGAAAGAGAGGGACAGACATAGAAAGACTGCACTCATTTGGGGGATATGAAGTAACAGAATGGGAGACAAATACCCAAGAATAGTTGATAAGAACACAAAGTTTTTACTTTGTTTGGTCTTTTTAAAATTTAAACCACAGGAAATTTAAACATGGAGCAAAACAGAAACAATTATGAGAACAACTCTTTGTTACATATTACTGAGTATATTTGTGTTTTTTTAAATCTTCCTGGATAGAGCTAATTCAGTGTTTTCATAATTTTTGATCCTTAACAGATGTATTTTGCTCAGAGATAAAAATCTGACTTCCAGTTTCAAAAATATTGAAAAAGAATTTGTCTAAATTAGGTTCTCTTTGTTAGCAGTGTATAAGCACTGTAATGGGAGACACTTCTCACTAGCTGATTTATCCACTGATTTGATATGACAAGTGAAACTTTGAAAGTAGACTGTTCCTATGTCTTCACATCTGCAAAGATTTATTCAGCTAATAGTCTGTATTTAAATACATTCATTATGCTGTTCAATGTCCTTTATAGAAAAAGAACTTAGACATTTCTTAATGTAAATTTATTGATATTTGTAGTTTTCAACTGGTGAAATAACAAGTACTTTAAACAGGTATCTTTTCTTTAAACTAGGTCGAGTAAACATTGTTGATCTTCAACAGGTAAAATTTAAATTTACACATTTTTCTTTTGATCTTAATTTTTATTTGCCATTTTAATACCTTAAAAATATTTACAGACATATTTTGTATGTTTCTGGAGAAAGAATTGTATAATGTTCACTGGTCCATTTTTTTTTAATCCTAAGAAGTTCTGATACAGTATATCTATTTCATGAGTTCTTTCTCAGTCAGTATTCTCATTCTTTGCCATATAAACTTATAGCTGTAATTACAATTGTAGCTGTAATTATAATTGTAATTTTTGTGTAATTACAAGGTAATTATATGAGGAGAAAAATCACTAGTTTTATGTTTTCATATTTTTAAGTACATTGAAGTTAAAAATATTTTAAAAAAGCAATTTTTAGAAAAAATCAAAGTTATAGTGTATTCAGAAAGCTGTCAATTCTTATGTGAAATTTTAGTTTTTTGCTGAAGCAAAGAGTAACAAGTATAGGTCAGTACTGAAAGTAGAGAATCTCTTTTCTATTTGGATTTTTATATTTAAAATAGATTGAAATTTATTTTTAAAAATTTTAGAATGATAATAATACTAGATATATATCATTTCAAACTTGAAAATCCAATGTAAATTTTTTACTAATCATATCTTTATTTATCTTTCAGGTCATTAATGTGGACTTGACTCATATTGAAAATAGAATAAGTGACATTATTAAATCAGAAAAGCATGTTCAGCTAGTCTTGGGACAACTAATAGATGAGTAAGTACAGTATTTAATAATACTAGTGTATTTTTTAAATACTACATTTAGCATAGCAGTAGCCATTTTGTCATTTTGCTTTATTTTTCTTAAAAGTATGTAATTGATTATACAGAGTACTTGGAAATAATATGAAGTTAATTTTCTATTATCATAAAAATTACAAGAACATGATTTTTGCAGTCTTTCTGGTGTGATCTTAACTTCGAAACCAAACTTTTTTCCAAAATAATCAATAAAGAATAACTTTAAATTTTTCATTATTACAATACCTTTGGGCTGGAGCAATAAGCATAGCGGGTAGGGCGTTTGCCTTGCACGTGGCTGATCCGAGTTTGATTCCTCCGCCCCTCTCGGAGAGCCTGGCAAGCTACCAAGAATATCTCGCCCACACAGCAGAGCCTGGCAAGCTCCCCATGGCATATTCAGTATGCCAAACACAATAACAACAAGTCTTACAATAGAGACGTTACTGGTGCCTGCTCAAAGCAAATCTATGAACAACGGAGGACAGTGCTACAGTGCAGTGCTACAATATCTTTGGCATTTATAACTTGACTAAACTTATGTTTAGTTACATTGATGATAAAATGGCTTTCAGAGTATAAAATATAAAGGGAAATCTTTCTTAATAACTGTTTTTGTCTTTTATAAATATTAGGAACTATTTAGATCGGTTAGCAGAAGAGGTGAATGATAAATTGCAAGAAAGTGGTCAGGTTACAATTTCAGAACTGTGCAAAACCTATGATCTTCCTGGAAACTTTCTGACACAGGTATTTATTTATTTTTTTGAAGTTTAATTATGTTTTAGATGAATTAATAAGCAGAAAAATCAGATTTTCTTACTATTAGTAGATTTTTGCAAGTGTTTGTTGGTTTAGCAACATATTTTTATGATGCTTCTTGTTAAATTGATGTTTCTGATAAAATCAATTAGAAATGATTATAATCTTTGAACCTAGAGAAAAACATTTTCAGTTATAAGTCTACTTTGATACAATAACAGGTATATAAGAAATATATACATAAACTTTAATCAGAATATTAAAGTTGTCACTCTACAGTTACGTATTAAATAATAACTAATAAAAAGGGTCTAGGGAATCTCACTCATGTGATAAAGCACTTAAGGAGACCCTGATTTCAATCCCCAGATTGACCTCAGTAGATTTATTTTAGGATTTGAATTAGGTACAGATTTATTTCAGTTATACCTTCCTTCAATCTGAGTATAATTGTGGAGAAATATTCATGAGGTACCAAATATCTGTCAATTTAGATCTCTGGGCACAGATAACTTATACCAGAGAAGTTAATATTTAGGCCTGTGGCTTACTAGGTGATAGAATCTTAGAATAAACTTTTTTTTTTTCTCTACGTTAGAGCCATAAGCTCAAGTAGGACCTTTTCCAGGGTCCTGTTTGTTTCTTGGCTAGCTCTATGTTTCAGTTTGCCTATATCTAGGAAATCACTTCTATTTTGCATTAGGAATAACCCAAATTAGCAAATTGGGCATATCAATAGTTAAGTTTATTCATTTGTTGGCTCTGCATCAGATGATAAATTGTATAGTCCCACATCTTTATTTTGCTTAGAAATTTTGTAAATTTTTGCCTTTTGGAATTTCTCAGTCACATGATTATTACAGAACCAATAAAGAGCATGATTTTTATAAGACTACACAAATATAAATGTTTATGTGTAATTTTGTTCTTTTAAATTAACAAAATGTATTTTTTATCCCCAGGCACTAACTCATCGACTCGGTAGAATTATTAATGGACACATTGATCTTGATAATAGAGGAGTAATTTTTACAGAAGCTTTTGTTTCTCGACATAAAGCAAGAATACGTGGGCTTTTCAGCGCTATAACTCGGTAAGTATAATCTTTGGGGGAGAATTGAGGGGTTTGGGCCACACCAGGCAAGTGCTTAGGAGCTGCTCTTGGCTCTCCGGAATCATTCCTGGTGGTGCTTGGGGCATGGGGATCAAATGTATTTCCAGGTATCAAACTGGGTTCAGTGCATGTAAAGCAAACCTTACACTGTTTCTCTGGCCTTTTCACTAAGAATGTTTTAAAATGTACATATGTATATATAATCATATTCTATTAGCTGAGTCTTTTTTTTCTCCAGTATAATTAATTTATTTTGGTTTTGGGTCCACACCAGGTTTGCTCAGGTCTTACTCTTGGCTCTGCACTCAGGAATCCCTCCTGGCTGTGTGGTGCTCAGGGACCATATGGGATGCCGAGGATCAAACCCAGGTCCGCTACATGCAGGGCAACTTTCTTTTTAGCCCCTCTTGATTTTGTTTTTTGGGTCACACCCAGCAGTGCTCAGGGGTTACTCCTGGCTCTGCACTCAGGAATAACTCCTGATGGTGTACAGAGGACCATATGGGATGCCAGAGATCAAACCCGGGTCAGCCATGTGCAAGGCAAACATTGTACCTGCTGTTTTGTGACTCCCTCCACCTTTGTTTGTAGAAGCAAAATATAATTCAGGACTCTAGAAAAACAGAATAAACACTATGTGGAGCAAGAGTCTTAGACTTTAGCCACTCTTCTTCAGACTGTATTTCCTTCTCCCTACCTTAACTCTTCTTTTGATTCAAATACACTTTTGCACAGTGCCTTAGTAAGAATATAAAGTCACATGCAGATCATGAAAAAAGCATTTGGTTTAATATCAAAAATGTGTGGACTGGAGAGATAGTACAGTGGGCAGGATGTTTGCCTTGCATGCAACTGACACTGTTCTATCCCCAGTTCTCCCGAGCTCACAAGGAGTGATCCCTGATGACAGAGCTAGTAGTAAGCCCTTAGGATAGACCCTAAGCACTGCTGAGTGTGTCACAAAAAACAGAAGTTATTGGGCCATAGCTGAGTCTCATGGTAACCAGGTGAATTTGAGATAAATCAAGTCAACTAACTTCTTCAGACTTCAGATAGAGCTAGATACTTTAACATCCTATATTCTAAATACAATGTACAGATTAATGACTAGTGATACAGTTTTTTTGTTGTTGTTGAATCACTGTGGGACAGAGCACTGCAAAGCTGTTCATCATTGGATTTCAGTCATAGAGTGTTTCAACATCCATCCCTCCACCAGTATACATTTCCGAGCACCAGCGTCCCATCACCCCCTGAACACTAACACTGATCTAGTGATATAATTTATAATTTAAAAGCACTTTACCTTTTCTAAATAAGAATATTTAAAATTATTTGGATCTGTGTGACAAACTCCCATATGAAATTGAGAAAGTCCATATTTGCAGTTTTCTCTTTTCTTTGTCTTTAACTTTATCTCTGTGATTTTATTTCTCACCCTGAAACTAGCATTTTAACATTCCATGATTTCTCAAAATAATCAAACTTTGAACTCTACGTTCCACTGAAATCTACCATTCTGTTTGTTCCTTTCCTTAAAACGATCTTCTCAAGGGCTAACATCTACATTTTTTATCTCAATTTTCTTCTTACCTTCAGGCATTTCCCAAGTCACCTATTTGGCTTATACTTTGTACATAACAGTGACAGCACATAAATGTCAGTATCACTGCAACTAATGGATACTCCTTGTCCTTGTTTTACATGACTTTGCTGTGAAATGAACTCCAATCATGTTAACTTCTTGAAATTGTGTTACATTTTTCTTTCAAATACCACATTTGCTGATTTCTTTTTATATATTTTTTTCTACTGCACCTTTAAAATTACTCTTTCTAGCTCTTCATTTCCCAGTCTTTCAAGTTTTATTTCAGATCATCTTTTCTTCTCAGTCTGGCGCTTTCTTCTTGGATAATTTTACGTTCTCTTTTTGCCAGAAATCAAAGGTACTTGTAAGTAATGTCCTCTAAATTAAACCAGATCTCATGCCCTATGTCATGCCTTGTTTTAAATTTCAGACTCATACTTCTAGCATAGCATCTTTAGTAAAATGTTTTACAAATGTGCTTCAAATTAAATGTACTTAAAGATTTTACCATCTCGAGCTAGCCCACCTTGCCCCAGTTAATTTTATTGGATACTATTTGCATTTTTGTGCAAAAACCCAGAAATCATTTTTTGTACCAGTGTTCTTCAATCACTGGTTTGCAGATCAGTACCAATCCACAACTTAAAATGGTTGAAAATTGATTGTGTGCTACATTGACTGTAACATACTCCATGGGCTGCTAAATAGGACAGGTCTGCAGCTGTAAAAATGTTGCACAATGCTGTTGCTTTCACTCTCCCTTTCAAAGTACAGTCTTTTGAATTAATATCTTTTATTACTTAGGTAATTTTTATTTCTGTGATATCACCATTACAATCACTTTAATTTATTTTTCACTCAACTATTTTCATAGATTTCTAATCAGTCTCTTCTACACATACTACCTTCTAGGATACTGTTTATATTGGAAGTCACGTGTTTTTTATTGTGCATCTCAGATGCAAGGTCCTGGTGCTACAAAAAGCTAGCAGGTTGGAAGCTAAAACTTACAAACTCATGAAACAGTTTTTTCTTTTTTCAGAAATATGATCATAAGCAGAGAGCCCAAAGAGAATATTTTTTTCCGACCAATTGGAGAGGAAGTCACTGTTACAGTGTTCTGTCTCCACAAGTACTTTTTAGTCTGTATATCCTACAGACGGGGTACTTGTCATATATAATAAGACGGCAAAATCAGAAAGTTAATATTGGTATACTACTGCTATCATCCAATTCACATATGCCAGTCACGTTTTACTAGTTGTTGCACTAAGGTTCTCCATACAAATGTATCTTCTTCAGAATTTCATACTGCATTTAATTTTTATTTCTGTCCTTACTTTCAGAGTTACTTGATTTTTATTTTTGTCCCCAATTCTTCTGAAGGGCACATAGCAATTATTTTGTGAAATATTTAATTTTACTTCTCCACTGTTTTTTTTTAATACTTTATTGAGGTTATTTTACTTTAGAAGTTGTATCGTGGAAGTGATTCTGTGTGCTTGTCATTGAATCTGTCAGGTGGCATTTCATTTAAATTTCTTCAGGTACTGGGCCAAAACTATAGTACAGCTATAGTAATACACATTATATATAACTAGTTGTATTAGTATGTTAGTTAACATTAGTTAATGTATATTATATGTTATATTCTATATACTGTTATTAATATCATAATAATATAAATATAATATGTTGTGTATATATAATACATATAATAATATGTAGGATGTTTGTCTTGCACATGGCTGATCCAGGTTCCATACCCAGCACCACATGTTGCCCCTTCACTCCCATCCTCAAGCATGGGAGAAGTGGTTTCTACATGCAGGGCCAGGAGTCAGTCTAAAAGCCACCCGATGTGGGCCCCCCAAAAAACAAAAAAGAATTTTCCATATACTGAAAATGGGCATATAATTTTTAATCAGGAAATATCTGCTGGACTTTTCATAAAATTACTTATTCCTTTTAATTGTTTATAAGTAATTATAGATTATTTTATATAACAGTAACTTGAGACCATGTAAGTTATCCCATTCTTTATCAGACATTCAATTTGTTTGTTTATTTTAATAGGGAAACTCGGGTTTCCATCTTTTCTTCCTTGATTTATGATCCATTTTTATCAGTCTAGCTTTTCATATTTATATTGACTTAGTTAGGGACAGTCACTGCAGCTAGCTTCTGTGTTCTTATTTCCCATTTGTTTTGGAGCATTTCCCTTCTTTCCGTACATGATGTTCCAGGCTCTGTGGAACATATTATTTAGAAACCAAGATCTGGAACTGGATTGCTTATTGCTACTTAACCTATCATAGCTCCCACATCTTCTCAGTAGACAAGCTAAAGGATAAACATAAACAGGTGTGCACAACTCTATATGTCACGACCTCTGTGTATATATACAGACCATGATTTCATACTTTATAGTATGTAATTTCATTACAACACTAAATTTCCTCCAGTTTCCTCCTTTTTTTATTTCCGTTCCCTATCTCGTCATGAGAAACTTCTCTTCCATTACCTTTATTTCTTTTTGATGTGACATGTCTCCCATTTTTGTTACATTTCTCATTTCTGTGTGGATGCCCTCTCACATGTATTTGAATGTAGTTACCATGTTCAGCAAACAGTATCTTTCTGACCCATAGAAGCACTGTACTGTCCTCCCATTGTTCATCGATTTGCTCAAGCGGGTACCAGTAACATCTCCATTGTGAGACTTGTTACTGTTTTTGGCATATCGAATATGTCATGAGTAGCTTGCCAGGCTTTGCCGTGTGGGCGAGATACTCTCAGTAGCTTGCCAGGCTCCCCAAATCTTGTATTTACGTGGAGTACTATTAGGAGGGGGCTGGAACAATAGCACAGCAGGTAAGGCATTTGCCTTGCATGCGGCTCACTGGGTTCGATTCCTCCACCCCTCTCAGAAAGCCCAACAAAAAAAGCTTTGCCATGGCAAAACCTGGCAAGCTCCCCATGACTTATTCGATATGCCACAAACAGTAACAGCAAGTCTCACAATTTGTTATGAGACATTACTAGTGCCAGCTCCAGCAAAATCGATGAACGGGAGAACCGTGCTACTATTAAGAGGACTAGGCAGCCGGATCACCCTTCTAACTCAACAAACTTGTAATGGATTTGTTTCTGAGAGAAGCTGTTTAGCTGAGCAATAGGATGGAGGCATTTGGGAAAGGTGGCAAGTGTTCAGTTTTGTAACACTTTGTACTCTGGATATTGCTTATATAGCCTAAAAATACATTTTACTATTGACAAACAGTTACTTCTTTGATCAGTTATTCATTATTGTAATGACTGTAGCTATACTCAGCAATTATTGTTAGAAACTATTTTCTTCTTAGTTCCATCTTCCAAGAAAAAACACCAGCATCTCTGACTCAAAACAGGTTTATATTTACTATTAGTATAGCCACAAAGAAGTGTGGAAAGTAATTAAGATATATATATATATATATATATATATATATATATATACCAAATTGCACAGTATTTCAGCAGTTGAAGTTCCATCATTAAAAAAAAAATCAAAAAAACAGAGCTACAGGGCCAGAAAGACAATTTATTACACACAGCTGAGTTCAACCCATACCATCATGTATGATATCCCAAGTCTTGCCAGGAATGATCACAGTGCCAGGAGGAGTAAGCCCTGAGCATTGCCTGATATGGTCTAGCCCTCCTCCTTCAAAAAATCAAAACTAAAAATAATTTACAATTCAATGCAGTATTTATTAAATACCTGCAATATGTTATGAGCCCATAATTTTAAGATGAGTCCTTGGATCTCTTCAGTTTAAGGAAACTGAAAATATAGAAAAAAAAAGAGACGGATCTAATTATTTAATAAAGGAGAGTAAACTTAGAGAACCTGATTAGTTTAACAGTTCAGACAGCTAAAATATTTGAATAAAGAATAGAAGACTGTCACTGTATTGTCCTCCTGTTGTTCATCAATTTGCTCGAGCGGACCTAGTAACATTGTGAGACTTCTTGTTACTGTGTTTGGCATATTGAATACGTCACAGGTAGCTTGCCAGGCTTTGCCGTGCAGGCGAGATACTCTCCGTAGCTTGCCAGGCTCTCTGAGAAGGGCGGAGGAATCGAACCTGGCTCAGCAGGGTCAGCCGCGTGCAAGGCAAACGCCCTACCGCTGTGCTATCGCTCTAGCCCAATAGAAGATATGATTCATAAAGGAATTTTGTATAAATAATTTAGGGACTAGAGAAGATAGAACAGTTAGTAAGGTGCTTGCATTGCACACGGCCAAACCAGTTTTAATCACTGGCACATTTTGTCATGCCCTGAGCACAGCCAGGGAGAAAAAAGTAAGTTAGTAAAAAATCCCCCAAGCACAATGGTGTTAAATATGAATTTAAAAACTGTTTCTGCTTTCCCAAGATTGTTATAAAGAAAATATAAAACTATTATCAATAAAAGTAGACTGAAAAGTTAGAATGACTTAACATTTTCAATTATATTAATAAAAATACCAGTGAAATACCACGAGAGATATGCATAGTGGCTTAAAATGAATAACAAAATAATGATTCTATAAAAGTTATTATAATTTTAGACAGCAAAGGAGGCAAATATTGAAGAGACAGATTCATGAAGGATTGGCAACAGCTGTGAAGGAAGTATTGTAGGTGATGGAAATTAATTATAATATTGGTTGCTTGATTTTATCAGCTTATTAACATCATTGAGTTATACTTAAAATTTATTAAGTTTTGGTATACAAATTATACTTCATTAGAGCTTTTATAATGCTTAAAAGCAAAATACCAAAAAGGAAAAAAGCATTTTAACTAGATTTCTACAATTCATTAACCTAATCTAGGAGTATATCACTCTTATTCATTTCTCTTATTCATTTCAGTACTTATATAAGCTTTTATTTTCAAAACTAGAATTGTTTGACAGTCACTTAACTATTGTCAAGTGGCAAAGAAATAAAAAAAAACAGAGAAAAACCCAGACTCTTTTAAAATAACAGAAAGAAGAAAACCACATGAAAAAGAGCAAGGCAGATAATTAAGTATCATTAAATCAAATTGAAAATTTGGTACAAAAGTAAATTGAGCCTGGATTGGAAATACATTAATTTCCCTACAATTTCAGTATGATTCTAATTAAGGATATAAAATGTTGTGCCTCTCTTACTGTCATATATTTTTCTTTGAAATTGTTTTTCATAAATACATATATATAATGAGTATGAATATTTTTTTTCATGTGCTTCTTTCCGTAAAGGCCTACACCAGTGAATTCTTTGATTTCAAAATACGGATTTCAGGAGCAACTTCTTTACTGTGAGTTTTATTTAAGTGTATTTTTATAATTAAAGCAGCGTAATAATTTCTCCAGATGTTGTTTGTTTGTTTTGTTTGTATAGATCTGAATCTCTTACGATGTTTTGAGGTTTGGGTTTTTATTTTTAAGTTTAGTAATTTTTTAAAATAAAGCGAGTTTTTCAACTCAAATGTCTGCAAACCTAGGAACTAAATTAAAGATGGAAAAGAAATACGGATAAAAAACTAGAGTTAAATTTTATTTCCTACATTTTTCATAAGATGGGCTTTAAATATATAGTCTTTACTACATTTAAAATTAGAAGTTGACTTATTTTTCAATCTGTGTATTTGAAGATTGGTAAGAATTCATTATATTTAAAGTTCTTTAAGTGAAAATTGGCAACTTGATTATTTTGATTAGAATTTGATTTGACCTGAATATTTTGTTGTACAGTCAACAAAAAATTTAAAATTTTGTGTTCTGATTCATCATGTAATCTACACTTTAGATTAATTAATCTACACTTTAGATGTTGCATTTTAATTTATGCAAGATTAAGATTTTAAAATTAAATTTTTTGTAAAAAGTTAATTTAAAGAACATTTCTATATGCCAGACATTTTTCTTTTTGGTGGGGAAGGATAAAGAGTGACTTGGGGACCACCCAGCAGTGCTCTGGGACTGTTCTTGGCTCAGTCCTCAGGAGTCACTCCTAAAAATGCACAAGGGGATGGAACTGAGGTCAGCACATGCAAGATAAGTGCCTTAACCCCAATTATCTCTCTCTTGCTCTGCTAGACATCTTTTGAGTATGTTTGTTAATTCACTTAGTCTGCTTTGTCTTTTTTTTTGTATTTTAATTTTTATATGATGAAATGTTTCATAACAGTAATCCTGTCTTTTGGCTGTATTATTGTTAGTCTTTTAATATTTATTGAATGCTTATAATACATCAAACAACAAACAAACACCGTCCTCCTGTTGTTCATCGATTTGCTTGAACGGGCCCAGTAACATCTCCATTTTGAGACTTGTTACTGTGTTTGGCATATTGAATATGTCACGGGTAGCTTGCCAGGCTTTGCCGTGTGGTAGAGTTACTCTCAGTAGCTTGCCGGGCTCTCTGAAAGGGGCGGAGGAATCGAACCCGGCTCGGCCGGGCAGGCTGCACGCAAGGCAAATGCCCAACTGCTGTGCTATTGCTCCAGCCCATCAGCTTCCCTTTTTAACACCTGTGATGTATTCGATATGCCAAACACAGTAACAAGTCTCACAATGGAGACGTTACTGGGCCTGCTCAAGCAAATCAATGAACAACCAGAGGACAGTGACAATGACAGTAATTCTATGAGGATGGTATTTTTATTGTCCCTCTTTCAAAGATGAGGAAGTGGAGGCATAAGGAAAATGATCTTCCTTTGTTTCTCAGCTAGCAAATGCTACAGTTGAGATTTGGATCCAGATCCATCCTCTTAACCACAATATAGTACTTTTTAGGTTGATTTAAAATATGTTAACTTTTTAAGTAATGGAAATGTCATCACCAAATTTTCCTTGATTCCATATTATATACTATTCTAGTTTGATCTAGGTGTCTTGATTTTTTCTGAACATAAGACCATTGGACTTGGGAGCAGTGCATATTATCTATTCTCAAAATTGCAAACATATGCACGTGTGTGTGTGCGCGAGTGCGCGCACACACACACACACACACACACACACACACACACACACAAAATCCAACATGCAAGTTACTGTGAGTTACAAGTTCACCTTTAGCTAATCTTCAACATTTTCTTGAATTTGTGACCTTCCTTTTCTCATAAATAGTAGAGATGAGATGCTTTGTATACAGTACCTTCATGTCTGCTTAAAACATTTTTCAAGGTAAATTGTGAGATTTGTTCCTAATCTTACATGTTTTTCTTGGTTATCTTTTAAGCTGTGCTTGAGGAACTCGTTAATAGTGGACGTGTGCGAGGCACTGTGATTGGTGGGAGACAGGATAAGGCGGTGTTTGTTCCTGATATCTACTCCAAAACACAAAGTACTTGGGTGGATTCCTTTTTCAGGCAGAATGGCTACCTAGGTAACTAATTTTTTTTTTTAATTCCTTTGGAACTAAAACTGCTTTCTGATATAAATACATTTGTAGAAAATATTGCACACTTGCCTGGAAGACACAAATAAAATCCATTTTAATGATTTAGTAAATGACGATGGCTGTCTTTGAGTTTAAAAGTAGTTATACTGCAGGTTTTTGTAGTCCTTAAAACTGAGTTTGATTAGGTACTGAGCAGTTTTAATGTTGAAAGGCTAAATAAACTTGTATTAATTGTCATTCGACTATGTGATATTATATGTTATTCAGTACTACAGACATTATCTAATGAAAATTATGCTCTTATACCTCTAGTACTTTTAATTCATCAGATAAAATTATTTTAATATTTTCTAAAGTTGCCTCTTTTTTAATTTCATCATCTTAGAAGTATTTTAGGTGTCAGAGAGATAGTACAATAGGTAAGACACTTTCCTTGTGTGCAGTTGACCCTGGTGTGATCCTAGTCACGCCAAATGGTTCTTGGCACTTGCCAGAAATGATCCCTGAGCACAAAGCCAGGAGTATTCCCTGAGCACAGCCAGGTGTGACCCAAACACCCAAGGTGGAAAAAAAAAAAAGAATTTTATTTGCTGTTAGCTTTAAAACATCCATTTATATTAGTTACCCAGTACTTCAGAGACAATTATTCTAAAGTGGATTTCTAAGATTCCATCATTTGGGTAATGTTATAAATCAGATTGAATTCAGTCATTAAAAACTTGGTTTGTGAGGAAGTGTGTGTGAGTGTGTGTGTGTGTGTGTGTGTGTGTCTAGTTTGATCAGTTATACCAGCCTCCCCCAAAGATTAGGAAATTATTGTTCATATTTAGATCATTTAAGCTGACTTTTCTTATTATTTTTGTTCTATGATATATTGGTCCATTTTATTAAACATAAACTTGGATTAGAATGTTGTTAAAATTTTCTTAAATATGATTTTTTGGGGGTTAAAAAGAGGAAAGCAGGTATCTCTAGTAACTTTAATAGTTATAAATATAAATGATTTTTGTCTTTATTTGCTACCTTTCAATAACCTAAATTATGATGGAAAAATTACTGTGTACTAAGTTACATTTGAAAACTAAATTCCATTTCTTAGTTAACCAGTAGGCTAAATTGATTTCAATTTTTTTCTTAAGTCTTTGCCTTCTCTTAATCTGTGTTTTTTTACTTTTATTACTCTATAGTTCTCTTTTTTCTCATTGACTCCTCAAATGGAGACGGTGAACACAACTGGGATTGAAGAATTTAAGAACCATTTTTAAATTAAAATTTAATATAAATTTAGGAAGGTGACATAATGAGGAAATAAGCTATGGTACATTTCTGATTTATTCTTTAAAATAATAGTAGAATTCAGTGCAATTACAATTAACAGATTTTAGTAGAAATGACCACATTTATAAAGTTTCTATAGGGTATGAATAATTGACAGTTCTTTCCCAATTTTACATTATTTTATATTTGTATTTCTAGAATTTGATGCCTTATCGAGACTTGGAATCCCGGATGCTATAAGTTACATAAAGAAGAGATACAAGACAGCACAACTTTTGTTTTTGAAAGCAGCTTGTGTTGGTCAGGGACTTGTGGATCAAGTGGAAGCTTCAGTAGAGGAAGCCATCAGTTCTGGGACATGGGTTGATATTGCAGTATGTTTGATTTTTTTTTTTTCTAAAATGTTTTATTAAGCCTCTGAAAACTGCTGTTTTCTAAATATATGTTTACTTCAAAATTTGATATATGTAGGGTTGGAGAGATAGCCAGCAAAGAATGAGTTATCAATCCTACCATACAGAAATTAATGAGATATACCACAATCTTATCTAAGTACCTATGGATTATATTATCGAGCATCATGCAGCATTTGTTTATTCCTTTCCTGTTGATTTCTGCTAGTGTATTTAGTACAAGCTGTTTTAGCAATGACGGTTTCACTTGTTTCATGTGGACATTTATTATGCAAAGAGCCAAATTAATGGAAAGAAAGAAACCAGGCAATTCATTATTTAAAGTTTATGACTTAAATTTTTTATAAATCAGAAAGATTTTTATTTGCCAATCAGAGCATAGCCTGGCCTTGTATACAGCCCACCTGACTGTATCCAGAACCCAATGTGGTCCCCTTAGCACTACCATGAGTGATCCATGAGCATAAACAGTTGTGTCTCATAAACAAAACAAACCAACAAAGTTCTTATTTGGCAACTGGAGGAATAGTACTGTGGATAGGGCACTTGCCCATACATGGCTAACATGCATTCAATCCCCAATAGCACATATGATTCCTCTGTGTACCATCAGGTGTGGCACAAAAACAAAAAATGAAAGAAAAGTACTTATTTTGGATATGCAAGTTCCAAATGATGCCATGTACTTACTTACTCAAATTTCAGTGTTGCCAGATAGGGGTGTGGTATGTGAACAAATTTCCTTTTCTTAGGAGTGGTACTTTCATAAAGGATTAAGGAGCGGGGCAGAGGGTTAGAAGGGTAGACAATTCAAGAAAATGGTGAAATAAAGTCAGTTTTTAGAACAAGGAGTGCGTGCATGTGTGTGTGTCTGTCTGTCTGTCTTTCTGTGTGTGTCTGCGTTGTTTGTTTTGTTTTGTTTTTGGTTTTGCAAGTTAAGCAGTGACTTACTTCTAGCCTTGCTCAGGGATTACTTCCTGGCAGGGCTCAGGGAACCATATGCAGTGCCAGAAATCTAACCCAGATAGGCCACATGCAAGACAAGAGGCTTTCTCTCTCTAGCTCCATGTATATCTTGGAAGTAAAGTTTTCATAACTTGCTGGTAGATTCGTTGTTTGTGGTTTTTTGAGAAAGAAACTACATGTACGTTATATGGACATGCTGAATTGAGTTGGGTGGTTACTATTCTTTAAACTGTTGGAGAATTATGGAGGAAAAATGGGGCAAGCCGGGGATGGACAGGAGACTGCAAATTAGTGCTATTTTGAACATGTTAAATTGAGATGCCTATCATATATGAGTATTATGGAAATGGAAGTAGACATAATTCTAAAGTTTAGATTAATGTTGAAAGTAGAAATGTAACTTAGGACATTATCAAAATATGATGATTGTTGAGCCCATTGGTGTTGATGAGATCCCTTAGGTAGGGGGATGTTTGTTACAAAACATTTCTCTGTATTTCATTAGTCACACTGTGTTTATTTTATTTGTAATTCTAGCCTCTGCTACCCACTTCGTTATCAGTTGAAGATGCTGCAATGTTGCTGCAGCAGGTGATGAGATCATTCAACAAACAGGCTTCAGCTGTAGTCTTTAGCGACACTGTGGTAGTCAGTGAAAAATTTATAAATGACTGTACAGAACTTTTCAGTGAATTGATGCACCAAAAAGCCGAAAAGGTATGCCAGATTGCCTTTTATCTACTAATATTACAGTATTTTCACATTAAATGTTTTTTTTCTGATGTTTTTTGAAAAATGGACTAAGAAGTAAAATTGCTCTCTACATCATTTTCCTTTAATCCATTATTTCTCTTTTTTCCTGTCATGGATTTGTTTTTTCTTTATTGCCGTCAGGTCATATAAGTTAGAATTTAGACAAATGATTTTATAAAAAAGGCCCTCCCGTTGATCGTCGATTTGCTCGAGCGGGCCCAGTAACGTCTCCATTGGAGACTTTATTGTTACTGTGTCTGGCATATCAAATACTCTCAGTAGCTTGCCGGGCTCTCCGAGAGGGGCGGAGGAATCGAACTCGGGTCGGCCATGTTGGCCGCTTGTAAGGCGAACGCCCTACCCGCTGTGCTATCGCTCCATGATTTTATAAATTGAATGATTTATAAAATGATTTTATAAATTGAAATAATAAATTATATACCTCATCTGAGAATATTGGTTTAATATTATACAGAAAAATGCATCTTATATGTGTAAATATAACAGTATATATGATGTGTGATGATCAGTACACAGTTTTCTCTTTAAATCTAACACATCCTATTAATTTTACCTATTTGCGGTACACAGAATGACTATAGAAGAGAAATGTTTGTTCCTACGTAAATTACTTAGATCCTCAAAACATTTGCAATCAAAGTACTTAAAGGAATCATGCCGGATCTGCTTTATTAACTATTCAGTTCAGGTTTCTAATTGGTAGCACCACTTTCTTTCAAAGCCTGCTCACACATAGGTTCAAGCTAACCCACTTATTGTAAGGTAGACTATAATAAATCCATTAGAGCAGGTTGAATTTATAAATTGTTGATATTTATAGTCCTCTTCAGATTTTTAATAATAAAAAAAATACGCAATATTGTTCCACACTTGAGCTACTAAAATAGCCCAGTGAAAATTGTATAGAAGACTTTAGGCATAACTCTCTTTGTTTACCCTGGAAATTTGGACCTACATGCCTTCAATTTCTTCTTCAAAAAAGCAAATTAATACCTACTTGAAATGTAATGAAATCTATGAGAGGTTTATATATCTTTAGTATATTATATGTATGCTACCAGTTACTCGATGAGTATATCATTTTTGTCCTCTTTTTTCCTAAAACTAAAAACTTATAGCAGTTGTCATTTTTTCTTTCCTTATGCTACCTCAACCAGAAAAAATAATTTTTTTTAAGAAATGTGATTTTTCTTGTTTGAACTGTCAGCATTCTAAAAATTTTTCTCTGGAACCCCAAAAAAGAAAAATCATTTTTTAATAATGAAAATATACTTTTGTCAGTATAGATTTAGAGCCCTTTCCTGTGATAGAGAACATATTGCTGAACTTCAAAGTAGTATATTATCTTAAAATAAAAGATCGAGATTGAGTCTACAGGATGAAAATATGCTTCTCTAACTATCCTTATCAGATCATTTTGATAGAGGTACCTTCTCTTTCTGATAATCTCAAGTATCCAAGTGATTATTATTCAGCAGTAGTAGAAACAATCAATCTTAGCTGAAAGGGATTTCATCTGACACTGTGTATTTAGGATTTCTTATTAGATTACAAAAAGCCAAAAATAACAAGGAAAGTAGTTTCAGAGTGGCAACTGTGAAATAAAGCTCTATAGATAGCAGCAATGAAAGAAATTAGGAAAATCATATAAGTCGTAAAGACAACTTTTTTATGTTTTCCTGTTTTGTAATATATACTTTAGCCTACGAAAAATATGATTTATTCCAGGAAATGAAAAACAATCCTGTGCACTTAATCACTGAAGAAGATCTGAAACAAGTTACTATTTTAGAAAGCGTTAATACAAGTAAAAAAGATAAAAAAGATGAACGACGAAGGAAAGCAACAGGTAATAAATTATTAACAAAATTTTAAGAGGGTTTTGGAATTCGTTTTTTATTTTTGCAGTGAATTTTGCATTTATTACTCCCTTTCAAAGACTATAATTTGGTTTGTTTGCCTTTAACTATTAATCATATTTTTTCTAATGAATTAACTTTTCAGTTATTAAAGTGAAGATATTGACTATTACATGTTTTATTAGTTATTTTATGGCCTACCTTCTATTCTCATTTTTTCCTCATGCTCCATGTTCCAGTCTAATAATGATTGTTTTTTATTCTCAATCTTGACAAGTTCATATTTACACTAGCTAGTCTCTCAACATCAATTCCACACGTAGAGCAAGCGATTTGCCCTACTCCAATTGCCACTCATGGCAGAAGCCCTTTTTTTACACTAGCTAGTCTCTGTTCCAGGATTTTTCTCTGCCAGTGTCAATTAAGTGACTTATCATCATTTAGGCTCAATTAAAATGTCAGTTCCTCGGAGATACTCAGTAACTACCCAGAAATTAGGCATCTTCTATATTGTCATCTTTCTAGAGGTGTTTTGAGGGGTTTTTGTGTATTTTTATCACGGTGATACATGTTAATTATCTAAGAACCTTGTCCATGTCAGTAGTTTCCCTTCCAGTAAAAGCACACCTTGGCTTATTTTAGGTGTTTATAAATGTATTGAATGCAAGAACTTCCCATGAGAATTTTTTTTATTTCAGTCACTAGGAATTATATAGAGTGCTACTGGTATTGGGCTGGAGAGATAGAACACACACACTTGCATGTGGCCGACCCCGAAGACCCGAGTTCTATCCTTCTGCCCCTCCCAGAGAGCCTGACAAGCTACTAAGAGTATCTTGCCCGCAGGGCAAAGCCTGGCTGCTACTCATGAGGTATTCGATATGCTAAACACAGTAACAAGTCTCACAATGGAGACATTACTGGGCCTGCTGGAGCAAATCAATGAACAACAGGAGGAGAGTGCTACTACTGATATTGGGCTGGAGCATAGCACAGCGGGTAGGGCTTTACCTTGCACGCTGCCTACCCGGGTTCGATTCCTCTATCCCTCTCGGAGAGCCTGGCAAGCTACTGAGAGTATCTCGCCCGCACAGCAGAGCCTGGCATGCTCCCCTTGGCATATTCAGTATGCCAAAAACAATAACAAGTCTCACAATGGAGACGTTACTGGTACCCGCTCGAGGAAATTGATGAACTGGAGGAAAGTGCTACAGTGACAGTGCTCCTACTGATATTCTGATAACTTATATTTATGATGTAATATTTCCCGTGCTTTTATAATAGGAAAAATTTTATTTGTGCCAACAGTGAAATTCAGTTTGACATGTTTCATCAGAAAATATAGTTATATTTACCATGGGCTGTAACAACTTAAGTTTTGTTTGTAGAGGGATTCACTTATTTCTTTGTATGGTTTCTTTCCCCCTCAGATATTTTTTATAGAATCAATAATGTTTATAATTCCTATTCTGGGAAAGAGATAGTGAATTACTACAATTAATTATAGTATTTGCGGCCATGCATATTTTATCAAGTCATTGAAAGATATAATGATACATTTCTCTTAATAGTTGGTTGCATTCAGTCAGTATTAGTAGCCTCTTTTATTTGCTTATAAAATGAAGAGTCATCAGGTAAGATTTTGTCTGTGCTATTTTATTGTAACAGTATTATTACAGTTACATAGGTTAGATCAAACATGAGAGTTTTCCCCAGGGGAAAACTTATTTTCAATTTAAAAGCATATTTTCTTTAATATGTGCTTTCAAAAATTGTTTTACTATCAGAATAGCAAGGAAAAATTAATAGTTCTTTTAGTAATGGGCTATTATAATATCTAAGGAATACTAATTAGTATCTATGATTATATCTTTAGTGTATAAATAATTGGATTTAAAAAATTAATACACTTTCAGTATTTTTCAGTGTCTTTAGTTTCATTAATAGATAAGTATTTTTTGTTGAATAGGATTTTTTAATGGGAATACCCAGTAACAGAGAAATGCCTCAATACTTCTTACTTCGGTTTACAGTTGTTGAATTTGTTTCTCAGTATGTATTTGTGTAACCTTTACTAGCCAATTGATTAATAATAATATTTTTTTACTTAACTGATTTAATATTTATAGTCAGTACTTTCTGACACCCCTTAAGTGTCAACCATTTACTTAACCCCAGGAAACAAATATTAATGACATATGCCGCTTGCTGTCAAGAAGTTTTTAAGTGGTTGGGAGTGGATGAGTCTGAGTGGGTGATAATCTTTCAACCAAGAAAGCAGTAGCTATAATTAAGTTTTCGAAGTATTGAAAGAGGATACCAAAGAGGCTAATACTAAAAGAGTTGAGCTAATGAGGACACATTTCTTTTAGGAAGGGTAGAAAAGGAAGTGAATAGATGAGTTTGTTCAATAACAAATTAGAACTGTAGAAAAGAAGTGACTGCACTTAGAAACAGAGGGACTGTATTTGAATATTTAGGTTATATCTGAGTTAGATGTTCAAATTTAAGAGATTTATTATTACTTTTATTGAATTTGGTTATGTTTTAAAAGTGGTTACAATTTTCTTTAATTACTAACATGCACCTTTCTACCATAAGGTTAAAATGACAACATAGTATCATTTAAAAACAAAGTTTACTCAGGGATTACTAACTTTATTTTTCCACCAGAGGGCAGTGGAAGTGTAAGAGGAGGAGGTGGTGGCAATGCCAGAGAGTATAAAATGAAAAAAAACAAAAAGAAAGGAAGAAAAGATGATGATAGCGATGATGAGTCATCACACACTGGTATGTAGCTTTATTTCAGTCACCCTTTATATTCCATGATTTTTTTTCACCTTTTTAAAAAGATGTACACAGATATATGTGTTAATCCAACAAGTTGGTTTACATCGTTTCAATGGTCACAAATTTCTTTTTTCTTTTTTTTTTTTAAGACTGTGATTTACAAAGTTTTTGATAATTGAGAGTTTTAGGCATATAATATTTCAACACCAGTCCCTCCACCAGTGTTCCTGTATTCCCTCCCTACCCAAACCCCAACCCTGTCAACTTGACAGGCACGTTACAAAGTCTCAGTGGTTGCAGTTTAAATGTAGTGTTTCTGTTTTGTTAAGTCTGCATTTTGGGTATATGACATACATCAGTAGTCACAAATTTCTTTTGCTATTATGTAGTTATGATAATCACCCAGACGTAGTTCATAATAGGATATATTAATTGTATCAAGTGCCAGTTTTAGTGCAAGCTTCTCAGTTCACAAATTGACATATCAATAACAGCTGTAAATCACGATCCATGACAATCAAATCTCTTCTTTCAAAGTGTGTTAGTGATTGATGGTATGTCTATTTATTTCACTTTATATATTTTGCATCTTTTGGTTACTTTATACACAAGCAAGACACAGAGTTGTGTTTTCTGTATCCCAGTGATAAATCCGTGTGATATATTATCAAGATGGATAATCAAAAGACAGAACTGGTTGACAAAGATGAACAGGCAGCAAAGAAATAAGCGAATACTTGGACATAAAGCATGACTCAACAATAAATAATGTTACAGGAAAAATGCCTTATATTGGGAAGGTTGACATTGCCACTGTTACAGAATACTCTAAACTCATAAAGACTCACTGGTTTAAAGAGGGACAGTGGTTTAACAACAACAACAAAAAAATGAAAATATTTCAGCAGATGTGAAGTTGGCAAAGAAGTTCACATTAAAGGGAACTCTGGTTTCATGTTAAAGGGCAACATTGCAAACTAATCCAAAGTTAAAAAGGAAATGTGACCGTTTGCCAAGGCATAAAAAAGATGCTTAGTCTATTTTGTATGTCACAGGAAGAGAAGAGGGCAAGTACAGTTCAGTTGTCCTTGATAAGTTTTTTACAAAGAAATGAAATTTTTATTCTCAAAGTTTTTGATTTCATTTTTTCATTTTCATTTCATCATCCTGTTACTCGTCGATTGCCTCGAGCAGGCCCCAAGTAACGTCTCTTTCATCCTAGCCCTGAGATTATATTCAAGGCTCTTTAGGAGAATGAGACCCATCATTGTTACTGGTATTTGGCATATTTGGTACGCCATGGGGAGTTTGCCAGACTCTGCCCTGTGGGCAGGCTACATTCGATAGCCTGCAAGTTTGTCCAAAGTAGGAATGAGATAATAAGATGTCATAAAAAGATGTCCTGATAAGATGTCCTGATAAGATGCGGTTCCGGGAGCTGGATTTTATAGTCTCTGAGTCTTGGCGCCAGGGGGCCAGGTGGTGGGTATGACCCCCGCCTACTGGAATTTGGAGGATCTGGGTGGAGGATGCTCGACTCCAATCCAAGTAGGCTGGGAGATCTCGGCCCCGGAACCCGCGTGGATTTGTCCCTCTGCCAGTACCTTCATGTGTGCGGAAAGTGGTCTCAGCATGGTGGTGGCTGGTCCTGGAGGTCTTCGGCTGCCGGAGCCCTGGTCAGGGCGGGGAGGAAAGCTCAACCCGCTCCCCTCCAATGGGCTCCGGCGAGGAACAGCCAGGCGCGGGGGCAGACTGATGAGCTAAATTATTGTGTACTGTATTATAATTATATTTTATTTTCCTAGACCTAGAGTAAAAGCCATTAATGTTTTCTCAGAAACATTTCTCAGAGGTTATGGAACTGTTTTATTATTTCTAGTTGATAATTAAAATACTTTGCATTTTCAACTTGCCTGCTCAGTTTTATGGTCTCCCACTGCAGTGGAAAACAGATTGTTTTATGAAAGTTATATGTGAAGATTTAAGGAGGAAACAATTATGAATGTTTAATTTTTATGGAGACATCCAGTTGATTAGTTGCTTTTACAAAAGGAGGAAAATTATATGTCTACATCTTTCCTCTTGAAAAATAATTTGACTTAATGAAACTAAGCTTTTCCCTTTCTTCCAGCAAAAAGAAAATTATTTGAAATGATTGAGATGCTTATTTTTTAGTTTTTCCCCCAGAGTTCATTGAACATGGCCTAATGCTGAGAGACAGTTATGTGGTTTCAGCTGTTAAGGAGCTACTGCTTTTACTGCCATAATTGTTTGACGTATGTCTTTAGAGCAATGGTTTTCAGTCTTTTCTACCTGTAGACTAACATCAGTCCAGCAGTAGAAATCACTGCTTTAAAATAGTCCAAGAAAGCTACTATAGCTTTTTTTTGATATGCAAATGGAATATTGAAGAAAAAGTTTCTTCATAGAAAGTATTACTTCTACCCTTCTTTTAAATAGTAGTAAGAGTAACTTCTGAGTTTTAATTTTTCACTGATTAATGGACTTCCATATTCTGCAAATATGTTCAAGGATTGCAGTAAAAGAGCATTTAAGAAATAGTTTTTTTAACTAGTTAACTAAATGAAGCATCCGATCCTCCTTTTGTATGTGAATTATGGGGAAGAGTCTGTAGAAGTAGTTAGACCATTAGACTTTTAAAGATGAAACATGTACTTTCAGAAAAGGATTGTGTTTTCATCTCTAAAATGGGGATACAACTAATTTTTTAGCTAAAATAGAGGATATAGGATCAACCGAGAGTAAGAGACTACAGAAGAAATTGTACTTTAGTAACTTCTAAAATGCTTACAGGAACCCATCAGACTATTTAATGTAAGAGATCAAGAATTAACAGTAGCTTTAAGAAAGAATAATACTTGTCTATTTGAAAACTGTGAACTCTACTACTTAGATCTTGATGCAGAGTTAAAAATGTTTTTTTGAGCTCTTTTTGTTTGTAAGGTTCTAGCTTGAAAAATCATTTTTGTATTTTTATACTTAGTAACTATAATATTAGTTTTCTTTGTCTGTATCCCATACTTTTACAAGAAAGTGATTAGCATGACATTTGCATGATTTATAAATAATCCATTATAGTAGGTGCTTGCCTTGCATGCAGATGATCTGAGTTCACTCCCTGGTACCCCATATGGTCTCCCTCCAGCACCACCAGGAGCAATCCCTAAGTGCAGAGTTGGGGCAGGAATAAGCACTGAGCATGCGGCCAAGTGTGCCCACTTCCCAAGGAAAAATAAAAAATCAGAAAATTTAGAAAATTGTTATCCTGATTCATAGCTTATATTTAAAATTGTTTTTATGAGTTACTGCTATTTGACATTGACAATTTTGTTGATGTAAGAATTGCTATCAGTCTTTGTGATAGGCAGTGAATAATTCCCATATTATCAACTATGTTACTGAATCTTCTATTCTTCTAGTTTGCTTATTTGGTTTTGTTATTGTTTCCCTCTGCTCATCTCTATTATAGTGAGAAAGAAACCAGAGGTAACTTTTATGTTCCAGGATGAGATTGAAGATTTTTTAAGAAAACGCATACAAGATGCTCCTGAGGAATTTCTCTCTGAACTTGCGGAATACTTGATAAAGCAAGTATAAAAACATATTTTTCTCTTGTTTTATAATTGAAATTCACTGAATTACTATTTATAATTTTCTCTGAGATCACAGAAAACTTATTATAACTTTTTAAAGCTTAAAATTTATTATAAGCCACCAAAATGCTGGATTTTGTTTGCCAATGAAGGTAGTTGAATTCAAGGAAGTTAAGTGCAAAGTTAAGTGCAAAGCAGTAGATAAAATCAAAGGTCAAAGTGTGGTGATGTCCTTGTTCATTGGACTTACAGTCCTATACCAGCACTAATGATTGCTGGTATCTTCTATAGCATGAAAAGTTACATCTAAAAGTTTAAAAGGAGGATTTTTCTATTTGGATCTTATTTATTTCTATGGGCTGGAGTGATAGCACAGCAGGTAGGGCGTTTGCCTTGCACGCAGCCAACATGGCCGACCCGAGTTCGATTCCTCTGCCCCTCTCGGAGAGCCCGGCAAGCTACCGAGAGTATCTCGCCCACATGGCAAAGCCTGGCAAGCTACCCATGATGTATTCAATATGCCAAAACACAGTAACAAGTGTCACAATGTTACTGGGCCCGCTCGAGCAAATCAGTGAACAACGGGAGGACCGTGTCTGACCGTGTGTCATATTTCTACAGGTCTACAGGTCTGCCTTAAAAATGAGCGTACCTAAATTTGTTTTAATACAAAAAGTATAAAATATTATATATAACTTAACCATCGTTAAGTAGCACATTCTTCCTTCAGGCTTATTCCAGGACGTGAGTTTCCAGGAGCCCAGAGTATCACATGTTTGGAATTTATATATAGCTTAAACAATAAAATTTTCCAGGTTTAAGTGAGCATATTATAAAGGGAGTATATTATAAATTTTCTTATTTAAGAAGAAATATTTAGTTCCTAATTTTTTTTAAGTATCCATCTTGAGTAGTTGAGCATGGATTTTTTTAAAAATTACATATTTTATACAACTACAGTCTTCTGCTCTACAGGCTGAGCTATTGAAGGGAGTGGCCTGGCCAGCTCCCTGTGACGTATTCGATATGCCAAAAACAGTAACAGCAAATCTCACAATGGAGACAATACTGGGTGCCCACTTGAGCAAATCAATGAACAACGGGAGTACAGTGCTACGTATTTTATAGAACTTTAGAAACTAAGAATTTTGTTTTATTCATGGGATCAGGAGGAAATTTATAGTCTACTATCTTCAGATCAACCTTCCATCACTTCTTTGAATTTACATTTTTATTATCATTGTTTTTGTCTTTAGTGCAATAACTTTTCAGTACTTCAAAATTGGGAAAGAGAATTCATTGTAATTCCTGGAATTCGACAGAAAACTTTGAACTGTTCTTTAAATTAATCTTGTTTGAAAAAATATTCTTATAGCATATTTTATAAAGGTTAATTTTTTATAAAATCAGTTAATTTTAATCATCTAAAATGTTTTTCTCTTATACACAGACCTCTTAATAAAACTTATCTCGAGGTGGTCCGTTCAGTATTCATGTCTTCAACATCTGCCTCTGGAACTGGCAGAAAGCGGACAATCAAGGACTTGCAAGAAGAGGTTTCAAACCTATATAATAATATTCGATTATTTGAAAAAGGAATGAAGTTTTTTACAGGTACACTTAACGCTGATTTTCTTAACAATGTTTCTCATTGTCCTTGAACATGCATTTTACAAAAGTACCTTTATTTTTCAGATGATACACAGACTGCTCTTACAAAACACTTGCTGAAGACCGTGTGTACTGATATCACTAACCTCATTTTCAACTTCTTAGCTTCTGATTTAATGATGGCGGTAGATGATTCTACAACTATTACAAGTGAAGTATGTTAGTAATTTTCTTGTCTCTTGGTGTGTGTTTCTTTTGGACCTTAGCATGTTTTATTCTTCATACCAAATATAACATAAAGGGAAGATAAAATATAGAAAGTTTCTAAGAAAAAATTATATAAGTTTATTATAAAGTATACATAGAGTTGCTAAGAGAATTGGTAATCAGCGTTAAAAACTAGTTATTTTGGAATTAGTATTATTTTTTTTAATTATTTTTTTATGTTGTAGTCCCTTTTCTTCCTGAATTACAAGTTCTTAACAGTTTTTTGTCTGGATGCTGTATCTGTAGTAATTTTCATTGAGTAACACCATCCCATTTTATTATTTAAAATAATTTTAACTTATTTTTTAAAATTGTGCCTTGAGGTTGAAAGCTCATCTCTTCCCTTCTTGCAGTGTAAGGTAGAGCTATAATTCCCAGTTGTCTTCTGTAAGATAAAATCTATTCCTAAGAGTCCTGCAGTCTATCTCAAAGATGACTCTACCTCCTTTAATTGTCATCCTTTTAGATCCACTTGAGTTTGATGATTTAGAAAACACTGAGATAGGATTATCATCATCTAACTAGTTGCATCTCATTGACTTTCTTATAAATTTCACAAAATTAAGGCTTGTGATTGATTGTTGCCAGTAGGGTGACATTGATTTTTACTGTTTGGCATTCATCATTATGTGGCTTCTTGTCATAGCAAAAACCTCCTCCATCTACACCTTCTAGCAGAGGTACATTCATTTCCCTCTTAAGCCTTCACAAAGTACTAACTCCTTCCTTCCCTTCTTTTAGCCTGAGTTCCTTATCCCTCACCGTGTAGACAGTTTCATGTCTTGACTCTGTACCAACCTCTGCTATGAAAAATACCCAAAATCCTATTCATGCCCTTCAAGTACCATAGAAGAGAAATAGGTGTGACACTATAATAGATTGCCCCTATCTGCCTAGATACTCATGGTTTAATTGGAAACCCAGTAAGTCATCTCCAGAAATTTTCTACTACATGGAGCCATGAGATTTAGGGCAAGCATGCTACCAAACCTCAAGAAGAGTGCTACAAAGGCCTCCACATACTGTCCAGCATGAAAAACATCTATTCAAGGGACAGGATCCCAGTTTGCCTAGCTTATAAGTATTTTTTTTATAATTATGGGGGGGTGGGGGAAAACGTTCTTCCCACCTGAAAGAGAAGAAAGTAATCTCTTGGCCCCAAAGCCCACGCTCTTACCACAGGCTATTTACATTCTCCTCTTCTCCCTCCCCAGCCTACACCCTCCCCTCCCTGCTTTGCTCATTTTATTTTTATATTGCCAGAGCAGATAAAAAGAATAGGGTCTTCAGGCCTCTTTGGCCAACTGGTTGTTGACATTAAAATGCTTTAAAATGTTTGCACTAAATTTAATCTCTAGTTTGAGATAAAATTAAAAGCAAAGAAATGACACTCAGTATTGTTATAGCATTAATCTTGTTTGATTGGTTGGTCTTAAATATACATGTCAAAGTACACTGCTGAAAGAATTTTACCCCCTTTTAGGTAAGAAAAAAAATTTTAAGCAAATTATCAGAAGAAACCAAAGTACCTCTCACAAAACTCCATAGTTCGCTGAATGAAAAAGTAAGTAAAAATTGAGGGGTTTTGGATATTGGGGCTAGATTTGGTGCTATAAAAAACTTATTTAGGGGGTGGGGACTGTTTGGGTCCCCAAAATAAAAATGTTTAGTGATTACTCCTGAGTCTGCACTGAGATCACTCCAACTGGGGCTTAGGTGGTGTCAGGAACCATATGGAATACCAGAAGTTGATTCCAGGTCAGCTCTGTGCAAGGCAAGCACCCTCCCCACTGTACTATCTCTTAAGCCCACTATAAAGAACTTGTATTTTTTTTAATCATAAATGTAAATAAATCTAAATCTGAGAAAATTCTGTTTCAGATACTGCTAAGAAAATTAAGGGGAAGACTAAACTGGGAATATTTTGCTGTTAGTGCTAAATCAAAGATTTTAATCTAGTAACAAAATGGCCTTTAAAGAAAGATGTGGTCAGGTTGTAAAAATCTTAAGATAGTATCAAATGGCACTGGTTCTTTAGATAACCTGTATAAAAGTTAATCATGGTTATTAAATGCCTTGCAGAGCATAGAAGATTTTCTGTCTTGTCTGGATTCTGCAACAGAAGCTTGTGATATTATGATAAAAAGGGGAGACAAAAAAAGGGAAAGGTAACACTGACTTAATCTGTATTATTAATAAGGTCTTATATTTGTGGTTTCATATCTGAAATTAAAACTCAACAGTCTGAATTTTCCATAGAGAACTGTCAAATCTAAATAGCTCTATGCTTCCAGGCATATTCAAAGTCTTAATATACTTGCCTGTTCCTCTCTGACCCATTTGTTATGGTAGCTAAATCCCTTACACCTATCATTAATCAAACCTAGGCGCTATTAGCCCGTAGACTATCTTTATAGGAAACCTTTGTCAATCAGTACAGTTCTGTCTAATCACCTGTTCAGGGTTTAAAATATTATTAGTCCAGGATTTTCCATGAATCCCTAGCATATTTGTTTACCATTTTTACCTGTATGTACCTGTAGCTCATATTTAAATGGTCCCCTAAGATGTTTATTAAGCAACATGATAAAAAGTGCCATAAAAGGGAAAGATTAGAGTTTACGCTGGTAAAAATTGTCTGAAGTTGTATAACCTACATATGTGATTTTATTTTGGGTTAGGCAGATACTGTTCCAGCATCGCCAAGCACTAGCTGAACAGTTAAAAGTAACAGAAGATCCTGCTCTGATTCTGCATCTCACGTCAGTCCTAATGTTTCAGTTCTCAACCCACAACATGCTGCATGCACCTGGAAGATGTGTTCCACAGATCATTGCTTTTCTGAATAACAAAATTCCAGAGGTATTATATCTTTCATATACTTGAAAGTTTTAAAACTCATAGGTTCATAGTAGATAGATACAGGTTTTTCTGAGTACCAAGACACAAAACATTTTAACATCATCTTCATGATTCCAAAAACAGGAATAGTAAATAAAGCGATTTTTAAAATTAAGCGTAACTCAAAGATTATCTTTCATTATGCTGGAGCGATAGCACAGCGGGTAGGGCGTTCGCCTTACACGCGGCCAACATGGCTGACCCGAGTTCGATTCCTCCGCCCCTCTCGGAGAGCCCGGCAAGCTACCGAGAGTATTCGATATGCCAGACACAGTAACAACAAAGTCTCCAATGGAGACGTTACTGGGCCCGCTCGAACAAATGCTCTGGACTCCATAATAAAAATGTTGAATTATTTTACATTTTGACAATTATGAATCTGAAAATTAAGCTTTTGGAAAACTTAAATCCAACTTGCCATTTCAGTGTGTGCAGTCCTTTAAAGTTCTTTAACAGGGGCTGGAGCCATAGCACAGAGGGTAGGGCGTTTGCCTTGCATGCAGCCAAAATGGCTGACACAGGTTTGATTCCCAGCATCCCATATGGTCCCCCTAGCACCGCCAGGAGTGATTCCTGAGTGCATGAGCCAGGAGTAACCCCTGAGCATCGCTGGGTGTGACCCAAAAAAAGCAAAAAATAATAATAATAATAATAAAGTTCTTTAAGGACAGTTTAAAAATCATACTGTGCAGAAAATATTCTGGCAAACTCCTCTACTAAAAATAATTTGATTTCTTTGAATTTTCATATCATGTTGACTGTTTCTTTGATGATAGAATCTAGGGCAACTTATATTAAAATGATCTATAACTAGGTTTTATCTCCATAAACTAAATTTTTTGAGAATCAAGGACCTTTTCCATTTGACTCTGTCTTTACCTGTACGTTTTGTAAAGATGAAGATCTTCAGTGTGTGTTTATTGAATAAATCCTGCTTTGTACACAGAAAATTAAAGTATGTTTATTAACTTTTCTTCTGTTTTTCCCACAGGATCAGCATGCTCTTTTGGTCAAGTATCAAGGCTTGGTTGTAAAGCAATTAGTTAATCAGAATAAAAGGACTGGGCAGGAAGTTGATCCTCCAAATGAAGAATTAGACAAAGAGCTAGATAATGTCACCAGTACTACTCGTAAAGAGCTTCAAGAACTTTCTTCATCCATTAAAGACCTTGTCCTCAAGTCGAGAAAATCCTCTGTGACAGAAGAGTAACTGTTATTCTACTTTTTCGTCCAGTGAACATTTTCCCCCAAAGTTGAGTGGTTACAAAACCGTGTTCATAACTCTCAACCCTCCCACACAAAGAATTCATTGTTAAAAAGCAGCATTATATTCAATATAAATCTTATTTTTGTAAATGTGAATTTTTGTAAATTGGATTCTCTGTGGGATAGTGTTTCATTTATTTCTGAAAGTTATACACTTTAGACTTTTTTCTGTATGTTAAATTAATAAATATTATGATAACTTTCAACAGTAGGAAAGGACTCATTTGTTCTTATGCTAGATTTTCAGTGATCCAAATATATTTAACACAGCAGAAACTTGTGGTTGTATTTTTTTAAAAAAGGAAACTTCTTTTGGGTAAAAAAAGAAAATCATGTATTTCTAAATAAATAATACTTAAACTTAAAATGCAGGAAATTTCAAAAATATGTTAAACTTTAATACAAAATTCTTGTTTTCATTTCTGAGAGATTAAATAACTTCCTACCTTTTCCTCTACCCCCTGGAGTATACTTTTATGGGGTTGGGGATCTTCAGATATATTAATTCTTAGACATGCACAAAGAGCCCATTTATGTCTGTGTTCAATTCTTAAAATACTAACAAGAAGTAAAGAAGAAACGCAATTTACTGATAATTGGCATATCCCATTTTAACACTGGAATAACAATTGAAAGATTTCTCCTTAACACAATTTGCATTTCTGAATCTCATGTTTTATATTTGTAGTCATCCAGGCACCTAATGAGGGCATCTGTATGTAATCATTAGAACTTACTTTTATTTTTCAATTTTCCCAAAGGTAGAAATTCTCTCATAAAATGTTTTTTTCCCCAAAAGGTAATGGTAGTTGAAATTTACTAAAATATTCCTCAGTGTAAACATTCAAAAATTGGGTTTTAAGCAACAATGTATTATGTATTAAAGGGAATTTTAATTATTCTGAATAGAAAACTATTTTTAAAATGTTTTATTTAACTACTTATGGCATTTAAGGTGTTTGAATACAAATTTAGTCTATCTCTGTTCTAGACAAAGTTTCAATGTTAGCAAAATAGCATTATTTACTAAGTAAAAGAAATCAGCATTATTGTTGATTAAGCATAGTAATAACTAAAGTTGTTAGGAATGTAACATTTAATTTAAGATTTTATTCATTGGTAATTTTTTTTAAATATATTTTCATTTGGGCAAAGGAATGAAAATGATGAATCCTCTGTGACCACAAACTCCTGGAATAGCTGAAACTGTATTTTTGCTTCTAAAATAATGACCACCCAAATCTAATTTTTAACTCAAGCTTTCAGAACTTTATCACTTGTGTTTCACAGCAAATACCAAAGTAATGCAGCGTACCAAACAGAATCTTGGACTGTAAGCAGTGGAGCAAGTAAAATCATTCTGACTTCCTTAGTTTGTGAAAATATGGAAGAGGCAAAAAGGAAAGCAATTGATACTTCATTTGCATAACTTAATTAAAATTGTTCCTATTTTTTCACATTAGATATTAAGACAGTTTTTACTGTGTTTGTAAATAAATTTACATAGCTGATTTTCTATGTAAAAAAATCTAATATTATTAAAAAATTGCTGTGTTTATCTACCATGATCTTAATGAACAGGTTTCAGAATGTTATTTAAAATAAAGCTGCCTATTGTTTGTAAAAAAATTCATTATACTCTGAAGCTTTCGTTCTTTTCATTTCTACAATGATTAATTGATGCATTCAAAAATATAATGTAGATTTTATTCTGAGCATTTTAAAAGAATTTTATTTCACACAAAAATAATTTAGAAGCCTTTAATGTCTTTCATCTTTTGAAAGTTTGTCATTTGTGAACCAGTTCCCTTTGCAATATTATTTTTAATTAGCTAGATTCCAGCAAACTTGCAGACATGTGCTTACCTGCTACTTCCTGTAATTTTAGATACAATAGAGATATTTGAATAGCATACTTAGGTATTCATCTCAAGATCATGTTTTTTGAAAATCAAGAAAAACCTACTTCTGGTCATCAAAAAGTGAAGAGTGGCATGTTTTATCCACAGTTTATTTTCAGAAAAACCAAAAATGCTAAGCTAGGACAAGAAATGTAAGCATTGCTTAATCAGAATTTAGAACCATCTTGAACTTAGAAAATGTGCTTTCATCAAATCATAAAGCACTTAGGATGAGGCCCAGGTGCAACGGTTATAGTGTGACTAGATTAAGAAGGAATATTTCATTTTTTCCTTGAAAGTGCCACTCAATATAGACCCAAATGGATTTCTTTTTCTAACAAGGTAAGGTAAGGTAAAGGCCCTCCCGTTGATCGTCGATTTGCTCGAGCGGGCCCAGTAACGTCTCCATTGGAGACCTTGTTACTGTTTCTGGCATATCGAATACTCTCGGTAGCTTGCCGGGCTCTCCAAGAGGGGTTTCTAACAAGAGATAATATATATTAGGTGGGGAGTATGTGCAGTGAAAAGCGCTGTTTAGAAAAAAAAATAAAAGTGCTTTCTTTGACAAGCCAGTTCAGCCCTTTACCCCGGTGTATGTAGTTAATGAGATAAAAGACACAAATATAAATTCCTCTGGATATATTCTACAGAAACCTGGGAGCACTTATAAAGTGTCTATTAAAGTAGCCTAGGAATTTAATTAGTTAACTAAAGATGATCTGAACTGAGTCCTGAAAGAGAAGTTAAAAACAGGAGTTGAGAAGGGGAGAACAGTGTGAACATTTTTGAGCAAAGCAAAAGAGATGCAGAATTACCAAGATGGGAATTAATAGGAAATCACTGTCCATCCTGTCCTCGCGTTGTTCATCGATCTGCTCGAGCAGGCACCAGTAATGTCTCCATTGTGAGACTTGTTACTGCTTTTGGCATGTGGAGTACGCCATGGGAAGCTTGTCAGGCTCTGCCATGCGGGCGAGATACTCTCAGTAGCTTGCCGGGCTCTCCGAGAGGAAGAGACGAATGGAACCATCAGAATTTAGAACCTGTGTGCAAGGCAAACGCCCTACCCACTGTGCTATCACTCCAGCACAGGAAATCATAGGAAATCACATGTTTGGAAAATCCTGAAGTATGAGAAATTTTAAAAAGTGATCCCAGGAAATAGCGTAATAAAAGAAATAATAGTGGAGCGATCAGAGAGATTAACGAAATGCCTGTATACTAAAAAGTTGAATCATTACCCTGAAAATGAGTAAAAGATTAAGTTAACCAGGGAAATAAGGTGATTATTTTGTTTTAGAGTGATCTAATATAGGGGGCTGGAGTGATTGTACAGCAGGTTGGATGCTTGTCTTTCATGTGTTCAATGCAGGTTCAATCCCCATTATACCATATGATCCCCCAGGCACAACAAGGAGTGACCTCTGAGTATTACCACGTGTGACCCCAAAACCAAAACATTTTTTTTATAAAAAGAGCTAATATACTGGAAGATAATTTGGTTACACCAAAATTCTTTAAAATATACGTATCTGTAATATCACTGTAAAATCTGGGCTTCAAAATGCTTACATCTTTTTGCCAGCTTCTGGCAGAAAAAAGATGAACAACCTATCTTGCTCAATAAGGAGGAACTCTTCTTGTTAATAATTGCTAATTTAAATGTCATTCCACCAAAGAGAAATCCTTAATCTGACTAAGCTAAGAGAAAGTTCCCAGAGGTTTTCTCTATTTTTTATTATTTAACATAAAGGCAAAAAAAATCATCAAACAGTTTTTCTCCTGAAATTGTTTAATCCCCTAAAATACACTTGTTAGCCTAATTCAAATATACAGGTGTCAATGTTGGTTAGTTGTGTGAAGGCATAAATCATGGTTAGCATAAATATACAGTTGTGTAAATGGTTAATAAATGTGAAGGACTTTATTCTGGGTTTTTTTTTTGTTCCCTTTTTCTGATACGAATTTAATGTTATGTGATTCACACACTATAAATGTTCAGAATTATTTCTGGTGTTCCAAAAGACCAGCTCAGAACCTGGAAAGATAGAACAGCTGGTAGGGTGCTAGGCTTTTACAGTTGACCCATGGTTCAATTCTCAGCACCCCAGACAATCTCCCCCAATTACTGCCAGAAGTGATCCCTGATTGCAGAGCCCGGAGCAAGCCCTGAACACAGACCGGCATGGCCCAAAACAACAACAAAAAAGCAAATCAGAAAAAGGGCTTACTATGCTACCATAATTCATAATATTGCAGTCATTATTAACATCTAATTTAAAAATGTAGAGAAAATTATTAATAGTTGATTAGGGAAAAAGTTAATGAAGAATTTATTAAGGAAAATATAACAGATTGCTAAACATATAACTACATTTGTATTTACTTACATAAACTTCCTTGTATGTATCTGAAAAATCTAGTTGAATATTTAGGTTCTTGCATTATAATTATTTTAAATTGTCTTCAATTGTAATTTGCTAAGAGATGTGTTTTATGATTGATCATTCATGTGGGAATTACAATATGGGAATAGATAAATCATACCAAAGTTGAAATATATTTGATAAAACTTGGGGACAGGGAAGATGAAGAGTCTAAGATGATGAATTTACTGATAGTTTCATGCACTGAGAGAGAACAGTCTACGGTTTTCTAACTGTTGAGTTTGAGATTCCTGGGGAACCACTAGTCAAAGATGACCAATAGAAAATAGGATACAGTGCTAGATCTTTAGCAGGTGAAAACAGTTGGAATTTGGGTGTTGTCATGTATGTGGTTATTTGTTTTGACATTTGCTTTGAAGCCAATGAAGAAGGTACAGAGAAACACAGTGACGTTCAGAAGTTGAATCTAACAGTTTACATCACCCTCTCCAGCAGCATCAATGTAAATAGATAAGAAGATAGGGATCTAGGTGACATCTCTAAGATTGTACTTCCTCACATGGAAAATGAGAATACCTGCCTAGCAGTGGTGTCAGAAGTGGTGTCGAGATTAATATCTATCACTAATTAGATGCAATTGTGTCCTTTGGCTGACTCAACTTGTTACTCTAATCAACATGTTTCCATTTTTTATCATAATCACCAAAGTCAAATGAATAACATAGTTGATTAGCTTTGCATTTTACTGGTTCACTTTTTTAAAAATTTTATTGTATTTCATAACTGAATTTGACCTCAGAAAATAATGTTATTTCTTTAGCACTTGGAATTAGTTTAAGTTTGAAGTATAAATGATATATTAAGGTACAATCTTTCTTCTCACCCCACATTACAAAAGAAACAATCTCTGAGATTTTAGGATCATTGTCATTTGGTTTATTAATCAATTTGACATGCTTACAATTTCTGTCGGATTTATTCTGCATTCAACATTTCTTCAAATTCAGTTCTTGAAACCTCTGGTTACTTTCCTTGTTTTAAACAAGTGCATACATGTATCTTTGATTTTCATAGGTCAAATGAGTGTGTCTCAATGAAGTCATCCAGAAATAATGGGCATGACATAACAATCATTGCCAGCTCATAGGTAAGTAGACCAAAGTGGGAAATGCAGAGGCAGCAAGCAGGTGAACTACCTTGAGTCATCCTAGTGAAATCCAAGGCTTCACACATCCACAAACTTCCCAGGAAGGCAATGATAGAGACCACAACCCAGGATCCATCTCTCAGCTTACCAAGAACTCAACAGGTGAGAACTTGGGGCGTCATCTTTCTACCTAATTAAAAGGGAAAATCTCTGTTGTTTAGTTATTTCTAACCTAATAAGGTGGTAAGGGAAAGGGAGTTTTCTGATAGTCATCAGAAAAGAAAATAGTAGATCAATCAATAAACAGAAAATACACTATAGTTAGGTTTTTAAGATAAATACACCCTTAAATGAGTCTAGTCAGTAGAAATTTCTCATGAGTGTATGAGAACCTTGTATTTTAACATTTTGGACCATATTTAGATATTTCAAGTACTAATTTTGGAAGGATTTCCCTTTAAGGATATCCTGCAGAGAATTTGTTGCTCATGACTTTAAGTAAAAATTGACAAGAAGGGCTTTTACAGTCCATTAGGAGTCAGCTATGAGTCTGTCACAAGACAGGAAGAAACTTCTTATTTCCTTCACAGAGTTGAAAAATCTTTAATTGGAAGGGAGCTTCATATAGTTGCTAGCAATATTCCTTTTGGAGCTGTCTATTTGTTAGAGGAAAATATCATCATATATTTCCCTTTTATACTATTTAACAGAAGAAGCAACTTTAAAACAAAAGTGAGTATTATTTTCTTTAATACTTCAGTTTGTGTATGTGTCAGTGTGAAATAGGATATTTCGGTTTCTTTAGACTTTTGAGTATGAGAGATTTTAAAAAAGAGTTTTAGTAACTGTTTAAGAGAAAAGTTTTGCTTGACGTGTCAGCATATAACGAAATATAGCTGAAATCAGGCAATGGTTGTCAAATTTCATGTAACAAGATTCTTCTTTCTGCACTGTTTGTATAAAGGGATCAGGGAGCCTGTAACCTTTTACAGATGTCTGGAATTCTAACACAAAGGCATAACTTCACTGTCATAAAGTGATTCTACAGTTTTATTTGGCTTAATTTATTTAAATGAATAAATTTGTCACTGAGTCCTATATTGCAGAACTTATATTTCCAGAGCACAATTTGAAGTCACTTAACATATTTTTAAGAGAGTTGAGTTCTGCTTTCAAGAAAAATCTGTGTACTTTCCAGAAGCAGGCATAAAAATAGTTCATAATCTTAGGTTTTTCTAAGGTTGAGTTAAAATGTGCGTTTGGCTCACACAGATATATAATATATGACATGGATCATAAGCATTGCTCCTTGAGACTGAGATAGTGCTATTTAAGCAAAAGCATATATCCCATGTGTTAATGCTTTCTCTCTATATTAGTTAGATGCTATTTGATATCCTTCGTCCATTTTAAACCCAAATTTCAGCTCTCTAACTGTCACTTTGGGGCTTATAAATGTGAGAATGAAAATGAATCATTAATAAAATATGTAATTCTTATAAATAAAATATCAGAAATTTCTTGTCATTTTAGCTGTCATTTCATCTCCGCAGTATTCTCGTGTATATATATTCTAACATTTCATAGTTAAATATATGCATTAAAATTTCACACAAATATTGCAAACATATGGATGATATAAGCTATTGCTTAACATATTTGTTGTGATATATGCCTAAAATCATAATCCAAATTGCATGATGAGAAAGCAAACTCTGATATCTGTTTTCAACACTTATTCTATTTATTCCCACATGTTAACTTGAGTTGTCAATTCTAGGATTGTTCTATCAAAATAAGAATTGAAAATTTGTGTTTTTATTAAAGGTAACATCATCTTACAGGTTTATCTCATGTTTATCATACTTGTCAATAATATTTTGAGTTAATCTGGATTAATTATGGGTTCCTTCAGAAAACAATTCTCTATGTTATAATATTGAGGATAAAGGTTTGTCTAGAACACACTGGAGAAGTTTTGTGTTTTTTCAACTAGGAAGTATTTCTGTAGAACTAAATATCAAATACTTGGGAGTTAGCTATCAGTTAAACAACAATTCCATGTTCTTCTGTCTTTTCTCCTCTCTGATCACATAATTTTTCTTGGCTCCTTTCTGTTTCCATGGAAGTGGCTGAGGATGAGGAAGAATGTTGCATAACATTGATTCATTCTTTCTCCTATGCTACAAAGAGCTTAGGTTTATTGAGTAACACCCATCACAGTGCTCCTGAAGCATTTTCATTCGTCTTTAGCTTCTTCTTTGTGCTCCGTTTCCCCTATCTGTTAATCACTCATTTTCCCTTATCAGACTCTGACTTGTAAAGTCAGTTTCTTCAGGGGAATATGGATTTATTATTTATACGTGCTTTTCTCTTTCCTTTATGTTCTTTGCAGTTTGCTTTGTAGCAATGTTATTTTGTATAGACAAGCAAAACAGTTAATGCTATGCTCTTATAACTTGAAAGTTAATTGACTCTGAATAATATTTACTTCTGTCATATTTACTCAATTTTAGCCTCAGTTGCCCTTAGTTCTAGCACCCTAAAAGGAGGGTCCTGATGAGAGACTTGGATGGACCCAGGTGAAGTAAGCTACTCTGGCATCAAAAAGGGACAGGTCAAGTGCCATAAAACTTATAATTAGTTAAGAGCATGGTCATTGACAAACTTTGTCATGACCTAAAAGGAAGTAACTGGATAAGTATCCTGCTGGGGCTAGAAAGAATTAACCCGGTCTAAGGACTGTAGTCTGGGATATATAACAAGATGTCCCCAGGTAAGGCACCCTTTAATCTTAATATATCTCTGTGTCCATACAAAATGACTAGAAATATTGTTAAGAAGTAAATTTAAGATGACTGTTTAAATGAATACTGGCTAAGGAAAGGGGAAAGTAATACACCATAGATGGAATTCTGCCCTTGTGCGGATCTCCTAGTAGAATACTATTTTGTCCTAGAAGCTTCCCTGGAAGGAAGGACTTTACATCTGCTGATTGTGCTACCACACCTAGGTGTAATTGCTACCCCCTCTTTGATATTTTTCTCTTAACTCATGCTGGGAGATGGAAGTGGGGGCAGTGTGAAACCGGAATGGAGTGGGTGGTGAGATTGGAATAGGTGTGCAGGGATACTGGAATAAATGGCAGACCAGACTGGAATAAGTGGCAACTGATCAACAATCAGCCTGGCCCCTGTTTCCTACTCCGTTCACAGTTGCCATGTGCTGATTGGGGTGGGGAGGCAATTCAACCACTGAATGTGCATGGTGCACCCCCACATTTTTTGAACTCACAAAGTCTCCTTCCTATCAAGTCATCTTGAATCTCTCCCTAATGATCCACTGCAGCATTAATCACCACATTCAACTACTTTGGAACCAAAGGTGTCCTTAATAGAATCAATGGATCCTCTTTGAAAAGAAAAAAAACTGCAAATTGATCTTTCAGTGACATTTCTGGGGTTCTGAACACTATGGTTTAGTATTCTCTGCTGTCCTGATTATAAGCTACTCGCCAGGAATTTAGATACTCCAGCTTATGACATGCCTTGGTTCCAGTGAAAACACCAAATATTTAAAAGACAGGGTGAAGCATGCCTATGTAGTCTCTAAACTGTTCCTGTCTAAGGACAAGTAAGATACATTTAGGTTGTATTTTTATTATTATTAAAGTGTTTGATATATATACACACATGGGGACTCAGGATCCAGAATAAGATGCCCACAGTGGGATATTTCTTAATTCCAAGCTCTAGCACCCAAATTCACACACTAACCTGTGAGTAGACTGAAACATATAGGGGAAGATTTGAGCTTAAATATACACAGAAACTGACCCAAGGCCCTGACAAATGTAGCTTCTACAGCAAGGGATAAAGAATAGCTTGCAGACACAGTGCAGGAATAAAGATACCTTGCCAAGAAATAAATCCCACAGTGGGAAAACAATCTGGAAGAAATTTCTAAGGTATGGAAATTCTCCCGTTGGGAGCACTTGATGAGCCCAACACGTGCCATCCCAGCTTTAAGTTCTAGTATTTACAATTCTAGAATGGGAGAAAAGAAATTGGTAGGTATAAAGGATCAGAGTCCTATTCAGCTGCCATCCTGATAACTGCTCACAGCCTTGCTTTCAGTGGTGCTGGTGAAGGCTGTATCAGAAATCACACTCCACCAGACCTTAAGGCAAGTCTCTGAGGAGCACTTCAACCACTCCTAGAAAATTACTAAGTGTGGAGTTGAGAGAGGATTGTTAGTAGTGCTTTCTCCTGGTAAACAGACCAAGTTCCTGGCAGGTCGCATCTGAACCTCACGAGCAAGTTGCACCATTGTAGAAGGAAGAAAACCTGGAGACTTTCTCACAGCACAGTCAGCAAAGGGACAGCCTTTGCCAGTCTATTTATGAAATTTTGTGACAGTTGGTACTATTGATCTTGAACCCCTGTACTGTCTTCGCTCTATGTTTCAATCTACCCATAGGTTGGTGTGTGAAGTTGGGTGCTAGAGTCTAGAGTTAAGAAGGATCCCACTGTGGGTACCTTATTCTGGGGTCCTGATCTTAATTACATCTCCCGATAGCACAGCGGGTAGGGCGTTCGCCTTACACGCGGCCAACATGGCCGACCCGAGTTCGATTCCTCCGCCCCTCTCGGAGAGCCCGGCAAGCTACCGAGAGTATTCGATATGCCAGACACAGTAACAACAAAGTCTCCAATGGAGACGTTACTGGGCCCGCTCGAGCAAATCGACGATCAACGGGAGGGCCTTTACCTTACCTTATCTTCTAAATTCTACTTTGCATCAAAAAAATATTCTACTACTTGAATATTCTGCTACTTCTCAAACGCCAACAGATTCCTCCAAGTACTCACTTTATCAAAAGCCTATTCATGGCCCAGTTTTGCTTAAATGTAGACCTTTGACCTTCGTCCAGGCCTCCAAAGAATGCTAGACCCAATGGAAAGATGAAAATGATCACCACATTAATATATCAGAAATTCCTAATGCAACAGAGATTTATGGGACAACTCCAAGAGGAAAAAATTTCACATCATCCATGCTTAGAAAGAATGATAAGAAAGTGGAAGAAATGCGTAAAACTTACCTCAAGTTGAGAAAAGAGTCACACAAAGAGATCCAACTCAAAGTGTGTCAACCACAATAAGTGTAAAAACACCAAGACACATTACATTAAATGAGAAAATAAAGAGAGTGTGAAAATAAAGATAGAGAATCCTAAGAACAGCAAAAGCAAAGCAGAGAGGTATGCAGCAGGGGCACCCTTACAAGACCATCGCAGAGTTTTACAGAGCTTTACAGGACCAGGACAGGTGAAGTGATGAATAGAAAAGTTCGACCATCAGCTAGTTTATCAGATTAAAGGGGAATAAACAGCTTTCAGATGAGCTAAAGTAAAAGAATTCATTACCACCAACACTATTTTCCAAAGAAAGACTTGAGGAACTTTTGTAAAAGGAAAAGAAATCCCCCTCATAAGTAGAACATTCTGAAAACCATAACATGCTGGATAGGAGAACAATAATAGGGGCAATTTATTTTAAACTTTACTAATTCTGCTAAATTTAGAGAATTTTATGCTTTAAATGTTAATTTTTAATGTATTATATACATATACATGCATACATATATTCATATACAGACACACATACACACATGTGTTTATAATTTTCCCCTTTGTATGGAAGAAGGAGTTTAGGATCAGGGTGATGGCC